ATTATCAGGTAATTGTTTTGCCTGTTTCCCAATCTGTGGCTTGTGTTTAAAAAAAATTTTAAAAATTATCTTTTGAGGAGCTGTCACTGTCACTGTCCTTCTGTTGTTCATCGATTTGCTTGAGCGGACCCAGTAACATTGTGAGACTTGTTGTTACTGTGTTTGGCATATAGAATATGTCATGGGGAGCTTGCCAGGCTTTGCTGTGCAGGCGAAATACTCTTGGTAGCTTGCTGGGCTCTCCGAGAGGGGCAGAGGAATTGAAGGCGGAGGAATCGAACTCGGATCTGCTGGGGTGGTTGGGAGTAGAGATGCTGGGTATCAAACCCAGAGCAGTCTACATGCAAGGCAAGCCCCGTACCCTAAGCTGTATCACTGGTCCCAGTAGTTTTAATTTTAATGGAATTCAGTTTTATTACTGATTTCTTTTATGGTGCTTTTGTGTGTGTGTGTGTTGTAAAAAAAAGTGTACAGTCTTTCTGTGTTTTTAAAAATGTATTTGGTATCATAGCTGCTTGTTTTTGTGTAATCCAGAGGTTCAGAAGTTTTTCTCACACATTTTCTTTTGAAGTTCATAGTTTTATTTCTTTCTTTGAGATAGTACGAACCTATCCTATCCAGTTGGAATTAGGTTTTGTATATGTCACTAGGTAACAGTTGAAGTTCTTTTTTTTTTTTTTGCTACAAATGTTTAACCAGTTTTGAACACTGTTGTTGACAAGATTGTCCATTTCTTATTTAATAAACTTGCCGCTTTTGTTGAATATAAATTTATATGAAGGTGTAGGTTTGTTTTCAGATTTTCTCTGCCTTTGTTTGCCTTTATATGGACACTCCATTATTTTATTACTGTAACTTTTTTATTCAGTTTTGAAATCCAGTTTATGTCTTTCAGCTTTTGATGTAGTTTTGAAGTAAGCCTGTCTGAAAACGTCTCCTGTAACCTCCATGTTTGTGTGTATCTCTGGAAGGTTATAGGCAGATAGACCAATTAGGATATTACCGGGAAAAATCACTTGGGTAGGGTAGAGCTAAAGCTTCTGTTTTTCATCTCTGTATTGAGTCACCTGTCATAGCTAGTAGCTTGTAAGAGGTGATATTAGCAGGATCATAACTCTAATGCCTACCGAGTGCCAGGCACTTTATGTAATTATCTCACTAAATACTTCCAAGGTGCAGTAAAGAGGACATTGTTATCTTCATTTTCTAGTTGATTTCACAGTGCCATTTTCTAAACTTACATTGCTGCTAGTGATAAAAATAGTATTCCTACCAGCCTTTACTGGGAAGGCAGATTTGGGAGACTTGGTCTGCCTGATGTTACTTAATCAGGCTCTGTCACAGGGTCCCCGGCACCTTCTGATAGTGACCTATTGCTCTTTGGAGAGGAAGTTTATCTTTCAGTCCATCCAGAGGGAATATTCATGTCAGGAGAGAGAGAAAATACGAAATGTGGCCCCTGTTCTTATCTTATTAGCGTCTTAGTTCCCTTCCTGTCTTTCTTCCTGCCACCCTGTAGGACAGGCAGTGTTCTCCCCCCCCCCCCCATCCCCTTAAAATGGACTCACAAGGAGTTTGTGAAAAACATCAGAACGGACAGACGAGTTGGATGCTCATTATTATAGTTTTATTGATTTAAACAGATATTATTTGCCTAATGACTTAAGAGGTATGTTGTTTCTATATTTATAAGTACTTAACTTACTAGTTCCTCTTGTTTAAAATGCTCTACCTAGATACCAGATTGTACTCTGGAAATTACTCACATCTTCATGCCCCTTATCTTTCTTTAATGAGGATGCATTGGCACTTTTGCTTTGTGTTATGCTAGTATATTAATAAAAATGTAGCAGTGCAATAGTTTAATGTCATTTCTTCTATTATCACACGTTTTAGCTCATAATTGATTATTGTATTGAGATGTTCATGAGCTAATTAGCTGTTGGTATAGAATTTTAATGGACTTGAGTAGAAGTCCAGCATAATGAATAGCATTTAGCCCAGCAGTGCTGGAAAGAATTAATGCCTTCTATTACATAAGTTCATTGTACATGCTCACTGACTGCAGTTTGAGGAAAATCCATTTATTTTACTTAACTGTGATAAGTTCTTATTTACATACAAATTTTCGTATTATGTCATGAAGAACATAGCTGCATTTTGTTATGATTAGACTGATCAGGTACTAGTGAAAGTCATAGTGTTATTTTTCTTTTTTATTCCGAATGTTAATTTTATTATTTTATTATCTCTCCCTCCACCCCCCCCTTTTTTTTTGATTCACTATGAGATATAGTTACAAAGCTTTCATGTTTGAGCTTTGGTCATACAATCATCAATCCCTTCACCAGTGCACATTTTCCACCACCAAAATCCCTAGTATCCCACCACCACCACCCCCCCTCATTCCAACCCTTTCCCTGCCTCTGTGGCAGACACTTTCCCCCATACTCTCTCTCTACTTTGGTTTTATTTGATATTTCAACACCAGTCCCACCACCTCTCAAACCTGCTGGAAATGCAGTGCTAGACGATTTGTTTTGTATTGCTTGTTATGGATAGGAAATAATGTCCAGGAAATTCTGTGTGGTTCTCTTCTGGGTGCTTTAGTTTATAGTCTCTGAGTCTTGGCCATTGATGGTGAGTTTACATGGCACTGGAGGCAGTTTGTGGGTGTGACTGCCAAGCTGCAGGAAAACTGGTAACCTGCGGGGAAGAGGCTCAGTCCCCAACTGAGAGGGCTTAGAGATCTCAGTCACAGGTTCTGACACACCTGGGTTTTCCTGCTGGGCTGCTCTCTGGTGGGGTTCATCTTGTCTTGGGTGAGGCTCGTCCCCTCTTGGGCGAGGCTCATCCAAGCATGTCGAGAGTGGCCTTGCGCATGGTGGCCGTTGGGTTCTGGAGGTTTTCAGCTGCTGGGGTTCTGCTTGGGGCAGGGAGGGAGACTCAACCCGTCCCCCTCTCAGGTGCCCCGGTGAAGACAGCTGGTGCAGGGTCAGGACATTCTGTGTCATTCTGTTCTGGGAGTTTTAGTTCATAGTCTCTGGGTCTTGGCTATTGATGAGATTACATGGCGCGGGGGGCAGTCTGTGGGTGTGACTGCCAAGCTACTGGAAAACTGGGGAGCTGAGGGGAGGAGGTGCAGTCCCGATCCAAGCGGGCCTGGAGATCTCAGTCATGGGTTCCCGGTTATCTCTGCGCCACCGGCCCTAACTGCGACATCCGAGATTTATGGGTCTCTGAAATAAGGCCAGTAAGTGAGCTTATATAGCTGAGCCAGAGGTGGTTTGTGGATGTGTCTCTCACATACCTAACTTTTGGCTGTTTAATTTCTTGGTAAATTTGGCCCCAAGTTGTTAGGGTCTAGCTAGAGGCACAGCAGCAATTTTGGGGTATCTGGAAGTCTGAAGGCACCATCAGACTGCTGATGTGCTCGCCCCACAGGTACAGGTTGACCTGCTGGCGGCATCATACCCCTGTCATTTTCTTTTGCTTTCCTCGTTAGACCTTTTTACATTATGAGATCAGATGGTTTTAGTGCCCTAAAAAAGTGGTAATTTAATATCAGTGTTAACTTCCCCCCTACTATTTGATTCTGTTTATTGTTCTAAAGACAAACAATAAAAAAGTAAATAAAAATAGTACAATTTGATAAGAATAAAGGGAGAGAGAATGCTATTTTAGATGTCATAATTTAATTATGACTGATTGATACCTTCCAAAAAAGAAAAAAAAAGATCTAGCAGGTTAGTTCCAAAAGCATTCCTTGAAGCTGATAATATCTAGTAGTTAAGGTTTGAAAACACTGCTAGTTATAAATATTCTAACTCATTATTACTAGCAGCGATGAAGTCGTTTTTCTTAGGCATATAAATCGTACAAAATCAGTAGATAGTAATACACATAAAATATAAGCACACATTTCTTCACGTTTTATTCCTCTTTCTGCATCTTAAAAACAAACTTCTTTGGTGCAGTGGAAATAATGCTTTTGTGGATCAGAGTGAAGGCTTGTGTCTTATAATGAAGTCTTTGTTCTCAAAGATACAAGTCCTGAACAAATTTGGCAAGTTAACCCTCACTTCTTGAAAATGTGTTACTCCTTTCTTGTACACGTTTGCGCTTGCAAGTCAAGATTGTCATTTGTAAGGCTGAGGATGTGGGTGATACCAAGACTGAGTGTTGGTTTGGTCCCCATTACGCCGTGGCGTCTGAGAAGCTCCTGGAATTATCCTGGCTTCCACAGCTAACAACAAAAATATTTTCATTTTAGCCTTATTTTTATTTCTACTAGGATTATTCTTTAGACAAGTTGAATTTCTCAACTTTTTTTTCTTTTCTTTTTTTTTCTTTTTTATTAGTGAAACACCATGAGGTACAGTTATAGACTTACAAGCTTTTGTGCTTGGGTTTCAGTTACACAGTGATCCAGTACCCGTCCCTCCACCAGTGCCCATTCTCCACCACCAATGAACCCAGTAGCCCTTCAACTTTTTTTTTCTTGAAACAATTATCATTTAGATTTTTATTTCAGTGATTGCAAGCTTTTGGTTGAACCCATATAGATAAATGATAAATCACGACAAATGAAAACTAACGTGAAAATTCGTTATTGAGTAAATATTTATTGTATACTTAGTACTATGTACTGAGTACTAGGCTAATCCTAGGATTGCAGTTTGGAAATAGGGGTTGGGTTTACTCTACATTTTGCTTTTCGTGCTGGAGATTAGATAAGTAGCTACAGTAAAATATTGTATTAATGATGACAAATCATTTTTGTAGGTGCCTCATAATTCACAATGATATCCATGGTTCAAATGAAATTCACATATTTTACATTATCTTCTACAAACAACTATAATTCAGTCAGTCTACATGATTCATAATGCAATTTTAACAGAGATGTTACTGAGTATTCTGTATTGGATGTGAAAATTCTTCTTTAATAAATCTAATAGGACTCGGCATTTAAAAAATAATTTTTTTTTATGTTGCAGATTTCTCTTGGATTTGGAAACAAATTGATAGATCTTCTGCACTGTGTACAGGCACAGGTAAGGTAAATTTGAAGTCTTTCTGATAAAAACAAGTAACATTAAATGTTTTGAATTTTTTCTTTCTATACCTTAGTAAAGGAATGCGTAATAAAGGAATTGTATAGTTGTATTAAAGGAATTGTATAATATATCTGTTCATCATGAAAGTAATCTATGAATGTATTGGAAGTGTTATGTAAAGGTAAAATAACCATATATGTGTCTTCTTGTATATATAAGGAAAGTATGCATATAGCCATCCTATGAAGTGAATTACAATTTCATAACCTGGCAAATATTTTTGTTTATTTTGATGTACAGAAAGTAAGAATTACAGATTTTGGCAGAAAAAAAAATCAGTTATTTGGAGGTAGGTTTTTGAGTCATTGTGAGATAGACCCTTACAAAGCTGTTCATGATTAGATTTCAGTCATACAGTGTTCCAACACCCATCCTTCCACCGGTGTACATTTCCCAGCACCAGTGTTCCCAATTCTCTCTCTCTCTCTGTCTCTGCCTCTCTGTCTCTTTCTGTCTCTCTGTCTCTCTTTCTGTCTCTGTCTCTGTCTCTGTCTCTGTCTCTCTCTCTCCTCCCCCCCCTTTCTTTCAAACTCCTTCCCCCCTCCCTTTTGGGTATTGTGGTTTGCAATGCAGATACTGAGAGTTTGTCATATATAACCTTTACTACTTTCAACACTCAGTTCTTGTCCAACATTATCATTTCCAACTATTATTGTCATACTGGTCATACTGGTCTCTTCTGTATCTTACCTACCCTCTGCCCTACACACACTTGTAGTAGACTCCAACTGTTAACCAGTCCTCCTAGGCCCTGTTTTCCCTGGCTTTGGATATTAGTCTTGTATTATATATTATTTGTATATGAGGGTAGATATTTTAAATGCCATGAATAGGCTTTTCTCTTCTAGCCAGTCTGAAATAGCTTCTCATTTCTCATCACACAAATCTGGTTTATTTTTATCATAGTACTCATTATCATGTAATATGTGCTTATTTATTAATTTATAGTCTCCTATATTAGACTATAAACTCTGTCACTACAGAACATTAAAAGAAACAAACAGTATTCCAGGGCAGAGATATAGTTCAAGGGGCTGAGAGCACATATTGCATGCAAGGCTGGGTCCTATCCCTGGTACCATGGGGTCCCTTGAGCACAGAGCTGGGAGTAGCCCCTGAACTGAGCCAGGAGTGGCCCCAGAAGCAGGTTCGCTATCCAGCACCATAAGGCCTCCCAGGTGCCACACCAGTACAGCTCTCCAAGCACGGTCAGGGTGGCCCTGGTGGGTCTGACAGGAGGGCCTACACAGCACCGCATCCTCCATCAACTCCAGCAGTGAGCCACCGGCCAGCTGCGTATCGTGGTGAGTGGGTACCGAACCTCCAAACACCTCTTTGGAGGCGCTGTGCTGCAGTTCCCACTCTCGCACCAAATCCAAATCAAGCAAGCAACAGTAGAGAAAATCAATGCCTCTAACCTAAATAGGTACCTCACATACATAAAAAAGACTATTAATTAAAGCAACGATCAGGTAGTAAATGTTAAGGATTTACTTACATTCAGATTCACTGAACTCCGTGTAGATAATAACTAGACTCAGTTTCTTATACCAGTTTATAAAATAGGCTTATAAATACAGAATTTTCTTTGAGGGGGGAATCTCCCATCTGGTGCTCTGGGTACCCAGGGTTTCCTCCTAGTGATAGCCAGCCAGCCGAGCTTGCAGTTCAGTGCCTGGGTCCAGGAAAACTTTGCTGCTCGGGTCCTATAGTGCTGGGACCATCAGGGCCACGTCTTATGATGCTGGACACCACTGGGCTATACCTTCTGATGCTCAGGAGACCACGTGGGGCCGGACATTGAACCCAGGTCAGGTGCATGCTAAACTTGTGCCCTAACTTCTGTACTGTCTTCCAGCCCTTACATGTAGAGTTTCTATAAATGAGTTTTTGTCCTGTACTTAAAACATGTTACTCTTAAATGATCTGAGAATTAAGATATGCTTAATGAGGGGCTGGAACCATAGCACAGCGGGTAGGGCTTGCACACTGCCAACTCAGGTTCGATTCCCAGCATCCCATATGGTTCCCCAAGCACCGCCAGGAGTAATTCCTAAGTGCATGAGCCAGGAGTAATACCTGTGCATCGCCAGGTGTGACCCAAAAAGAAAAAAAAATTTTTTAAATAAAATAAAATATGCTTAATGAATGTGGCATTTGGAAGATGATGTTTCTGGAGCTGTATTTATTTTGTCGCTATCCCGGAGGGTTCTTTTGAGCAGGTAACAAAGTTCTAAAGCATGTGTGGTTTCTCCTTACCTCATTGAACCAAGCTACTGTACTGAATATGTTTTGTGATATATTTATAGAGAATAAACTAGATTTGAAAGTTTTCCAGTGTTAACCTTTGAAAATCAAGTAAGTTAAAAATTATCTATTGCCTGCCACTGGTCATTTTGGTCAAATTCCTGCCCAAATTTATTATCACAGACCTAAGGCTTTTTGTGTGTTCTTGACAGTTTTAGGTATTTCAGGATATGCCTTGCTATTATTGGATTTTTATTTCTTGATTTCTTACCAGTTTTTTTAAGTAGATTTTATCTATTTTAGACTTTAGTTTCTCCTGTCATCATGGTCTTTTGCTTTTAGAAAGAATTAAGTCATGCCCTTTAATAATCAGAACTTATTAAGTTAAAATTAATTTTAAATCTTGCCAATTGTATGGCCATTTCTAATTTATGCCTAATTTAGAAGTTTAACTTGCAGAAATTCCTTTGATAATACTAATAAAACAACAGCTATTATTTATTGCTCTCTCACTATGTGCCAAGCATTATGTAAGTGCTTTTCAGTTATCTTCAGAATAGCAGATAAGGAAATTACAGCTCAGAGAGGTTAAGTAACTTTTTCAAGGTCATATCAACTAACTGGCTGTTTGCCACCCCAAGGACCTTGCTCTTAACCACTAAATTCTATTTTCTGCCAACTTAGTCCTTTAAACACGCATATTTGTGACAATAAGAATAATGTGAGAGTGGTATTTATATTTGAGCATTTTCAAATTAGTTTAAAAGTCAGGAATGATTTTTTTCTTATATTTCATGAGGAGGGATTAACTTTCAACCTTTATTCCAAACCAGTATGTATCAATTCCTTTGAGTCAATGACTGTCCAAGTAATTTAAAGTTCCACTCTGGCACATTTCTTTCATATTCTCTTTTCGGAATAAAGGCTTGTGAGGGAAAGCCATTTGAATTTTTTTCTTCCATTATAAACTTGATATATGATGAATTGGCGTTCTTTTCACCTTGCTGTATTTGATATTTTAGGTTACTAGCAGCATGTGTTTTTTTTGAATGAATCACTTTTCTGCAGAGAACATGTTATATGAAATACTGTGAAATAGAATTAATTAGAAGCTTTATCTTGGAAGGTGTAATTTATATCTCAGAAATTAAAAAAAAATGACTTAGTAGTGGCGTGGCATAGCTTTGTTATAGAATGGACTTTGTTCAACTAGAACCTAACCTTCCTTATTTGTATTCAGAGCTAAGTAGAATTTAGAATAATACAAAAATATTTCAGGTCTTAAATGTATAATATTTGTGGACAAAATGTTCTTATAGAAAAAATTGTTCTTAAAGACTGCTTTGCAGAAAATACTTGAAAATTTTATTTGAAAACATGATCAATTCTATTTCTTCTCACTTTCCAAAAGGATTTTTTCTTAGCGAAAATGCAAATGCCAGATTTCAATATGTGGAAAGGGAATTCTGCATTTTTATTTAAGCAGACAAAATTTATTTAACAGTCAATTCTGTGCTGCTTAATCTATAGCTAGATCAGTATTTCCACTTTAGTCTCACCTTTTAAGCATTTAAAAGTTAGCCAATAAAGTTTCTTGCCATTGTTAGTCACACAGGAGCATAGCGTGATAAATCTGTTTGACACTTCAGCCTTGAAATGTAAGTTTTCTCTTACTATAGAAAGCAGAACCTACTGTAGGTTTGTATATGTTTGTGGAATTTATGTTTATTTTCTCAATGTTGGAAGATTCGGAACAGACAGGTAACGCTGGGGAAAGTTAGGTGAAATAGTCACAGGTAGAGCCTTTAATATGTAGACAAACTCTCCAATATGCAATAAAGCATGATGACGTCTTATAATAGTAATATACTTTGTTGCTATATACTGAATTATAAATACTAAGATTATATTAAACATATCAAGACATAAAAGCAGTTATTTCTATTACTGAATATGAAATGGTTAAAACTACTTTTCAAATGACTGCTGAATTTTGAATTCCTTCTTTGTTCATAAGTAAAGGGTTTGATTAGCTATTGATTTGACTAAGAGACACACAAATTTCCCCAAAGACGGGCATTTTGGACTCCAGAGCTGAGGCCTCAAGAATTGTCCACTGAAAATCAGTATCAGTTTGAACAAAAATTTAGAGTATTTGACTGTATATCTTTTGCTGTAGGCAAAGACTGCTATTTGATCGTATCACCGCTTTTGTGGCATCTGCTTCAGTAGTCAGTACTTGCTTTAGACGCTGATTTCTAAAGCAGATGTGTTGACAGTTAACAAAATGCCCTCCATAGTTTGGCTATTCAAACTGGATTTCTAATCTTGGTGCCCCTGGGTAGAGTTTGCTTTTAGTATGAGGAATGGACTGTGGAACTCAGGACAAAATAGGTTTCCTGGAAGTGAACTCCATGGTAGGTACTGACAGTCATCACTCACTTGGATGAGCTTTAAAAACATTCTCCTACTCAATTCTTGTATTTTCCTTACAGCTTTTAAAAACTTGTTGGGGGGTGGGGGCGAGGAGAGGGGGCTTGCGACCAAGATTACACCTGGTCGTGCTGGGGATGGAACTTTGGGCCCACCCAGCCCTCTGAGCTGTCTCCAGGTTGCCTTGCCTCTTAAGTGCGCTCATACTAGTGAACAGATATGCCGAGCACCCCTTCCCATAGAACAAACTTCCTCCG